AGCACAAGGGAAATCATACTATGCAGGAGGAGTGGAGGGGTAGTGGAGGGGAAGACTGCTATGCTGGCGGGGAGGGGGAGCGTGGTGCAGGGGTGGGAGTGGGAGGTGGAGCACAGGGGAGATTGCATGGGAGAAGTGTGAGGGAAGCCACATGGTGCATAGCCCGAGGGAAGTATCGGGGAAGACTTTAGTAGCAAAGGATCTGCTACAGCTCCAGCCTTTGGCTCCACCACTGCAACTGCTACACTTGGAGCTGCTTGTTCAGGGCCACAGTCACATGTGCTCTGTGCCATGAGCTAGAACCAGAGCCACTGTATAGGTAAGTGAGGGGAGAGGGGAATGAAGGGTAGGGGCAAGCAGTTGGGAATGCAGATCCTGGGGGGTGCAGGCACCAGGGAGGGGCAAGTGATAAGGGATCAGGAGCAGGCCTCTTGATGCTGCTTTTCTTGCTGGAGAAGTGGAGGGTGAAGGGGATTAATTCAAGATAAAACCTCCACTAATTAGATTCTATACATGGAAAATTATAACAAATTTGTAATTTTCCTTTTATAGAATCTAATTGGAGGAGTGGTCATCTTAAATTTGAAAGTTGTCATGGATTCAGGTAAATATGGTATGTGATATCTCTGTTTGTAATTTAAAAGGTGCCTTTGAGACATCCAAATAATTGGCCAGTGGTACCATGTTACTAGGGGACTCTTGTAGCTCCTTGTTAGCAGGCCAGTTTGAAGAACTTCAACCATTCTGTTTCTGATCATCTAGGGCATTTATAGACGTGGTCCAGGAGGTGGAGGGGTGCTTTAAGTAGCACAGCTCCAAGAGCTGCGCTACTTAAAAGCTCCCAGAGCATCACGTGTATCAGAGTCCCTGCACTGAAAAATGGCGTGGGGGGGAAGCTTTGAACTATAGCTTGTCAAACGACCTTTAAAGTGCCCCACCACCATTTTTCAGTGCAGGGATGCTGATACTTGTGATGCTGGAGTGCGGTAATTACCAAGCTCCAGCAGACTTGATTAATCTGCTGGAGCAGATTAATCGAGATTAATTAATCAGATTAATCAGACTTGATTAATCAAGTCTGCTTCGACATGCTGTAATTACAGAGCGTTGGAGCAGACTCCCTGCACGTGCATAGTAGCCCTAGTTTCTATCATGAACAGCTGAGTCGCTCCCATATTTACTTCCCAAATGTATTTCAGAATCTTGTATGTAACCACAGAAGCCAGCATTTGTGGCCAAAGCATAATTGTGGTCAGTTTTGAAAGGAAACAAGGGATTTATTGCATAACTGTGGTCTCTACCACAGAAAATTTATTAGGTATTGTTTGCATTGTATTGTTAGAGTAGGAAGTTTACACTATCTAAATATACTACTTAAAGTATTTTTGGAAGGGAAAAACAAAACCAGAAGTTATTTTCTTAGCGCACACCTCCTGAAAAACAAGAAAATAAGGCAACTTCTGTTGCATAAATCAATAATATACAAGCCAGCTGTGCAGTGGGTATTCTGCTTGCAATGAAAAACAAACTTTCTTCGAGTAACTCATGTGTGGTTTCAACACTACTATAAAGGTGGGGGAAGCACAAAAATAGGTAAGCTAGTCACAAGGGCTAGGGACAGAAGTTACGCATTAACCAGTTTAAGTCTTCAGAAACTGGTTTAAACCTGTAACAGAACAGAAGCTCAGTGCACATAAAAGTTTCAAAATGGCTGAAACTGGTTTAAGATAAACCTGGTTGAATGTAGTATCAGACTTAACTGATTTGGGTCAAACCTGTTTATGAAACTTCTGTCCCAGACCCCTTGGTTCAAATTGAATCAGAGTACCCCACCATCCAAGCATGCTTTGCGGCCCTGGGCTGGGCTGTGCTGTCCGCTCCAGAAAGCAGGACTGGCCGTGCCCTTCTGTTCCTTAGCTGGAGCAGTGAGTGCCAGCTGACAAGGGAGTGAGGGTGGGGCAGCCTCTGCCAGGCTATTCCTTGCTTGAAGCTGGAGCAGAGGCAGTGTGGGGCAGGGGGCAGGGCTCCGGGGGGGGAGAGAAAACAGCGTGAGAGGGACTGCGCCTTAGTCTGTGCTCCTGGAAGCCATCTGCTGTGCAGAGGCTTCCCTCTCATTCAACCCAGCTCTCTGATACATAGCCATCATGGGCTGTATTCACTTCCTCTTTCTCCTGCCCCCAAGGTCTCTGGGATTTGCAGTCCAGAATCACAGTAGCAGGACCTGGCAGGGTTGCTCATCACTTCCTCTGCCTGTTTCCAGATGCCTCTAGGATTTGTAGTCCAGAATCACAGCCAGCAGGACTCCACAGGGTTGTTCCCTTCTGTTCAATACATGCTCGCTTCAGAGAAAGGACTATTCCAGCTCAAGCTTTTATGAATTCAATGCCACTACCTATTTCCACACCCACCATGCTCCTCAGCCGGGCAGATGCTGCCCCCCTCCCCACTTCTTCCCACCCTCTTTGTCCTCTGGGCTGGGGCTTGGCCATGCCCCCTCTGCTAGAGCAGGGAGGGGGTAAAATCCTTGAAGCTAGCAGGCTCCCCCTGCTTCTGGCTTGAGTCACTGAATGCATGTGCCTGCATTTCTTGAATCAAAAGTGAATATTTGTTTGCTTGCTTGCCGGTTCAATCTGTGCAGCTTCAGCTAACCTGCAAAGACCAAACTGATTCAGCCTCAGGCTTTTTGACTGTCTGCACTTAGCCAAGGTCATCTCGTTCAGCCACCTGCTCATGGCAGGAATATTTCTGGCTAAGTCATCCCAGCCAAGTGTCTGTCTAAACTTCTCTTGAACATTTCCAGGGATGGAGATTCTACAACTTCTCTACGTAGCTAATGCTGGGCTCCCTCATAGTCAGAAAGTTTCTTCCTCATCTCCAACCTAGATTTCTCCTGCTGCAGCTTGAGGCTTTTGCTCCTAGTCCTGTCCCCTATGGCCATGGAGGAAAGCACATTTCAACCCTTTCTATATTAGCCCTCCAGGTATTAGAAGACTGTTTTCAAATCCCCACTCAGTCTTCTCATCTCTGTATTAAATAACCTTAGTTCTTTCAGTCTTTTCTCATAAGTCATGCTTTCTAAGCCCCTGATCATTTTTGTTATTCTACACTGGACTCTCCAAATCAACCCCCTCCTTGAAGTATGGGGCCCAAAACTGGATGCAATACTCCAGGGGAGGCCACTGGTGCCAAACAGAGCCAAAGAATAGCTTCTCTTGATTTACAAGAGACACTTTTGTTGATACAGCTGAGTATACTGCTGGCTTTTTTGGAACAAGAGCACACTGTTGAGCGCACACATATTCAGGTTGTGGTCAACTGTAACCCCCAGGTCCTTCCCTGCAGTACTGCAGCCTAGCCAGTCTGCATTCCCCAGACTGCATTTGCGTATGCAATCCTTCCATTCCAAGTCTAGGACTTTCCACTTGTTTTTAATGACTTTCATCTGGTTGATTGTGGACCAGGCCTAAGGAGTGGGCAGCTCTGCTTTACCCACCTGCTTGAAGCTGCCATTGTGACAACTCCTTACACCAGGGTGGGGCAGCAGCAGGAGGGATGGGACCCCCTTTATGATGTGTCCCATAGCAACAATGGTATCCTGGAGACTGCTCTGCCCTTCCTGGCCTTGCACCTTCCTGCTCCCAATGCATGCCAGTGAAATCGGGAGATGCTGCTCTGCCTTTCTCTTTGCAGAGGTTTTGGCAGTGAAGACTGGAAGCCACATTTCAAAGACAGGGAATTTGGTGGAAACGCAGAGAAAACAGTCAACAAGGTGGAGCAAGTGAAGAGGGACATCCTGGATAACCGAAAGCTGTTGTGCCCCACACTCAGAAATCTCACTCTAGATGGTATGGTCTGGCAGAGCTCTTGTTTATGCTTTACATCGCACAGAATATTAAATATAAGAAGGGGTGTGTGACACTTTGGCATGCCCTGCATATGTGGTGGATACCCAGCGATCCCACGAGCTTAGCGCCTTCACCTCCTGTGCAGTCTTTGGACAAAAGTCACTTATTGATAGGAGGGCACCTTAAAATCACTGGCTTCAGTTTTCTCATTTGTAGAATGGGTGGAAATGGGTGTCTCCAGGTGGAGATTTACCAAATTTAAGTCCTCTTTTGGTGAATGTGCGAGGAGCCCCTGAGCTGAAATGCTCTCTAGGAGTGGGTTGGATGGATCTAGATGTGCCAACTTATGCATTAAATATAACACTATGGTTGTGTTGGATCCCTCAGTGCCCATGGGAATTGGAGGGCATTCAGCAGTCCCATCCTCTACCCAGCTTTTTGGTGGATGTTCCAGTGAGAAGTTTCCCTAGGATGCCTGTAGACATGCAGGGAGGCTGCTCTGATGTGCTGTAATTACAGCGCATTGGAGCAGACTCAATTAATAAATTGAGAGTGTTAGTTAGGGTGCTCCAGCCAGCCTCCATGTCTCATGTATCTGTGTCCCCCCCGTTTCAAAATGGTAGCAGAGGTACTTTAACGAAAGCTCATTCAGCCTACCCCCCATCCCTGGAGCACATGTACAAATGCCCCTAGTGACTGGGTAGCATTTTCCGGCCTCTGGCCTGCACAGAATTGTTCTGGTTTGGTTTCTTTAATGAATGTTTAGGCTTCCAGCTGTCCATTGCTGGGCTACAGAGACATGGTCAGAAATGGCAGCCCAAAGGGCTCTTTGCATGAAAATCTTGAATTTAGCTAAGAGGGCTCAGAAATTCTGTTTCCTGTCCTGTCCTGGCCTTTTTTTGCCTACAGATTGGTAAGCTGCTTTTTGATCTGCAGACATACAGCTCCTTGTAGGGTGTCCAATGTTTGGCCTCACATATTAACTGAGGCTTTTACAAAGAACTGTGTCCAAAATTAGGTTGAAAACAGAAACTACACAGGACTAACTTTCATTGCTCCCTAAAATCTATTGATCCTATGAGAGGTAATTACATGTAGGTCTTGTTGCCTCCATAGTCAGAAATAAAGGGACTGTTTTCTCCCAGATGTGGTATGCTTGTTTGTCTGTGTGTGTTATCAAGATGGTGACACGTCTTTTACTTGCATTTCAGAAATCACGAGTGTTTGGGACAGAGTGTCTCAATTTGTTTTACGGAACCTCTCCATGAACAAGGTGGGGCTCTCCTGCTATTTGCTCTTGTGTCCACATGTATCTTGTTTATTCATTTGTTCTATTTTTAAATGAGAAATTATCTCCTAATTTAAACCAAAAAAATTATCCCTTCCACAGAATGGCAAATACCTCCACTCCCATCAGGCTGATACTAGGCAACCTGGTTGCTCTGGGATTCCAGGAAAATATACAATGTTTTACACTCATTACTTTGGCTCTTTCAGGTGATTCTGAAATCACTTTTAATAAATTCTTGCTCATCCAAACAGTCTATAGTCATGGCAATGGACTCCAACTACAGCCTGGGTAACGGGAGGGCTTATCTAGACAAAGCTTAGCAATGTTGAGTCCTTTGGTTGTAAGCTCCTCATGTTAGGCACATTGGTTCCCATGTCACTACATCAATTTTTAAATTGTGAAAGAAGAGAAGAAAACTATTAAATATGACATTTAAGCTTTAAGGTGGATCCAGCTCCTCTGCACAAGGGAAGCACAAAAGTGTGAAGAGATCATCACATCACCACCAGCACAACGCTCTGATGTAACCTGTCAACATGGGACATGACAAATCGGTTAACAAATATTTTTTATTGCTCAATATTTATTATTACATTTTTCAGTGTCAATATACCTGGACTGGGAATATTCTCATTTGTCTGAACAAAGATAGGTCTTGGTGGCAACAAATTTACTGTGACACAGAGACCCATGTTTCTCCTGTCTGAGAAACTGTCCCAGAGCTACTGAAACAACCAAAAATACACACTCCAGGTAAGAAGAGCGATTAATGCCTCTCTGCCTTTCTTTAGAATGCATTTGTAACCTGTTATAAGCTTAATACAAGCAGAGAATTCCTCCCAGTGACAGCTTAGACTCTAGCCAGAAAACACTGGGCGTATTTCTTTACAGCCAGTGTTGAATATGTTGTAAAAATACTAAGTAAAGTAAGAACATTTCTGTTTGAAATGTTCTTTCAATTCTACTCCTAGAGATCATGCATGCTGCTATTGTCATGATGCCTACTGTCTGATGGAAGTTCTACGAATTTCCATGTTTTAGTCATACCTATTTAATTGACGTTGTGCACTCACCGTGCATGAAATGTCAGCTTTGCAAATGTAAATAAATTCACAGCTTTGTGACAGGTCTTACTTGCGTGAGTCCTTTTTAGCAGCATGTACATCAACCAAGTCATCTGTTGTGGGCTCAGCTTGGAGCAGAGCTGGCAAGGACATTGGCTTCCATGAAGTACATGTACAGATGTATCTGTTCTGCATTGGAGAGAGGAGGGACGGTATAGCTTAACCCTTTTTACACTCAAGGCATCCTTTAGAACATGCCAGCTCTTAGCTTTCACTCATGTTTTGACTATGGAAAAATAAAAAAGCAAATCTTCTTTTGCAAAGAAGTCAGAAAGACCACAGCTGGTCAGATGTTTTCACTTAGGCATCCTATTTGAAATATCTGGGTTTATCTTCTGAATTGTGAGGGCATTTGCATAGCTAACAGTGCTACTATTGAGTGGCACCCTTAAAAGGATCCCACAACACCCCAGAGGCCTGCAGCACCCTGGCTAAGAATCACTGTGTAAAATTATGCTCTTAGAATAGCATCCATGGCAACAAGGGGAAATGAAAAGCCCACCCACACCTCTGGTGTGTCAGTCTGCACCTTGTGCATCTCTGATATAGTTAGTCTATATGCTGCCTTCACATCTAGCAGATGGATGAAGGTACCATGCTGCTACAATTCAGGACCACAACAGGTGAAGTGCCGGAGATGCGGGGTGGTAGAGACAACTCCTAAGGTGAAGAGTTTCCTAGTCTAAGTAAACAAGACACATGGAAGGAAGTGGTGTTATCCCTTTCTGACCAATGGGGAACCAAAGCATGGAAAGTTTACCAGAGTTGCTATGATAAAGCTACTGTAATCATAGTGGCCACAACTGGAATGATCCTTCCACAGTATGACACTGCTGTGGACTCATATGATCCCATTATATTGGGATCTGGGGCAGGTTTTTTTCTCCCCCCATGGCAGCTGTTCTGGCATTTGGTAGTTTGAAGCTATGTGATAAGCTCTGTTTGGTGGCTTGTCTAAGGCATTTGGTAACTGTAAACCAGGGACGGGCAATTATTTTGGGCCAAGAGCCGCTTACTGAGTTTTGGCAAGCCATCGAGGGCCGCATGACAGGCAGCCAGGGGTAGATAAATATTTATTTTCTAAATTTTTTAGGGGCCCCATGGACCAGATAGACTGTTTAAACCTTCATTATTGACCTTTGGCATCCTTCAGTGTAAACAGGCCATAGAGAAGGTAGGAAAGGGTGGCACTTTTTGGACTAATTGATAAAAGAGAGGCATGGGCTTTTGTGGGCAACAAAGCTATAGCATAACATTTGATGAAGTAGCTTGTTGCCTATGAGAGCTCACACCTTTCTAAACCAGTTAGTCCAAAAGGTACCACCCTGCAGAGTCCTTGAAGTAGCTCTATAGTATCTATAGTATCTACTCTATAGTATCGGGTGACTTGTTAGTGCAACCTGCAATAGGATAACAGGTTGTTGTAGAAGTAGGAAGGTTTGCCTTGTCTGTTATCTGCTTGATAACTTCTGTGGAGTCATCCATATTGCCTGTTGTCATTGCAGAGGCCCAAGACAGAAGATTTAGTAATTTCTCAGAGACCCATTTCTGATTCCCACGTAACCAGATCTCTGAAGTTTCCAAGGTAAGTACATTTGCTTCCTTTACAGATCAAGTTGTTCTGCTCAGCTTTCACTTTGCTGAAGCTGCCTAGCACTTAGCACTGGGCTCTAACCCTTTGCAGGCAGAGCTATTAAGGGAGTCCAGATCCCAATGTATGGGAGTATTAAGCAGAGCACAGAGAGAAGACTTGCAGTTTTCTGAAATATGTGTTGTCCACAGAGTACATGAATGTAGTGGCCTGGTTCTGGGATGACCCAAAACCCAAACCTAAGCTTATACTACTGATACAATAACTTCCTTGTATAGTTCCAAGAAATGCAGTCAAGCAAGGTTTTTTTGCGTAGATGTGATATCTTTTATTGACCAACTGAGTAGTTGGAAAACAGTTCGTAGCCAGCTTTCGGGTGCAGTCACCATTCTTCAGGCATAGGAAGTCTCTGTTGTTCTGAGACTCCAAGGAATGAGAGAAGCTAAAAGTGTGACAGGATGCCCGTGAGAATGTAAATAGGTAGAAATTAGGAATTCCAACCTGACGGGCAGCTACTGCGTTGAAGCATCTGTCAGCCTGTCGGCTAGCCCCATGCTGAAGCACCCTGTTCTCCAGCCAGCCGGGTCAGCATCTACATGTGCACTGCTGTGCACAAAAAAACTCTGCAGCAGGTTAGGACTTGTATTAACGTGATCTTTTAGTACATAAGGAGCAGTGCCTCATACTGTGGTGCTAATGCTTAGATCAGGGTGCTGTACTGTTGACTTACAGGCTAGATGCAGCTCATGGAGCCATGGTATCCAAGTCCTAACCTGGTGCGGAGTTCATTAGTTTCATGCACCCCACTAGGGATGCATGTGTAGACACTGAGATGTTTACTGTGCAATTCATTAGTCAACTGCACAGCACGTCTCATGTAGACACCCCCTCTCCCGACAAACTGTGTGCTACTATTGTTACAGTTGCACCTACAACGCCCAACCATGGTGAGAACTACATGACACTTCATGTACTCTTGGGGAGAGGCAAGCCCTGCTCTGAAGAGATCAGTTTGAATGCACATGATAAAGGTTTGGGGATGGGAAGGCTTCCTCTTCTTCATTTTCTGTAATAAAGACTCTTCAGGCCACATTAAACTCCCATCAGTATCGTATTTACTTGAATCCAAGTCAAGACTTTTCTCTGTTTAACATGGGGAGCTGCTGCTTTGTCCCCCCTTCCCCCCCACCTCTGCCCTCCTCCACTGCTGCAGCTGCAGCCACGCCACTGAACCCTCTCTGGATCTGTCCCTACATAGTCATAGGATCATAGAAAATTAGGGCTGGAAGGGACATTGCAAGATCCAGGGCCAGCCTGTCCTACATTGCAAAACCTGTGGCCTAGGGGACCATGCAAGTAAGAGGCCCCCTGCATCTGGCTGCTCGTCGCCCCCCCCGGGGGACCCAAAAAATTGTGGGCTGGCCCTGGTGAGATCATCTAATCCAAACCTCCATTCAGGGCATGATTATCTCTGACCCAAAACATCCCAGCCAAACATGTCTCACCCGGTCTTGAAAATGTTCAAGGAGGGAGATTTATCAACTTCTCCAGACAGCCTGTTTCAATGCTTCACCATCTGCAGAGTCAGAAAGTTCCTCCTAATCTCCACCCTCAATTTCCTCTGGTGCCGTTTCAGTGGGATGTCATTCAAAGCACAGGCAAGATACACTGCCTGGTCTGACAGCCTCAGTGAGATCGTCTGCAGCCCCCACAGTTGCCTGGACAAATGGCTCAACATTTCCTCCATCTGCCCCTTCAATGGGTTCAAATTTCTGGGCTGAATTCCCCCTCCCCACACTTTGTGTACTGGGTCTCACCACACAAAGACCATGGAGGCAAGGAGCTAAAGGAGCTCCAGGCTGGTGAGGGGCATGTGATTTAACTGGGCACAGCTGTATGTGAGGGGAACATATGGGCAGAGTCAGGTGCAATGCTCTGTGCTCCAGAGCAACATCTGCAACACAGCTGGATGGTGCTTTCCTGCATCACTTCTACTGCTGTGGTCCTTGGGCTGGTCTAGCTATGTCTGCAAGGTCCTCAGACTGGCCTCTCAGCAATCCCTGCCTATTGTTCGTGGATGAGTCAGGAGGTGGGAAAGGATAGCAGGTGGTGAGGCTGGGCTAAAGATTCCCCTCCCCACACACACTCCAGGCTAATTATCCTGTTTTGCCAGGTTTCCATCATTTCACATTTTCCTGCTCTTCCTTTCCAGACTTAGAGCAGGCCAAGTTTTAATCAGGTAGACACTGAGTGAGTCACTCCAGCAGCTCTCCATGGCATCACAGTAGGTGAGTGGTGCTTTCAGCAACAGTCAAACGAGCTTAATGAAAGAGCTTAATTAACAGAGCATGAACTAGAGCTGGCAGATCCACTAGATGGCACTGTAAATATTTCAATATCAGGCAATGTCAGCAAAGAACATTTTGCAACTGTTGTGGCTGATGATTTGCGTGCTAACAGTTGGGGTCCTCAGTGCAAACTACTTGTCAGTGATGCAGTTTGAGCACGCTCGTCTAATTTTTTAGCTTAAAGGCAAACCAATTTCGTTTGCAAAAGCTCTGTGTTAACTGGGGCATTATCTATCACCCACCCTCTTCTTCTGTTTCTTGTGAGTGGCTGGGAGTGGAGTAGAGAAGAGCGTAGCAGCACTTCTGGGATACTACATATTTAAATGCCCCAGACACTGTGATGATTGCCACAGAAATGTGTGCAATAATAAGTAAATGCTTCTCTATGGGATTCCTTTCTACAGTGTTTTAGAAGAGTTCACACATCTCAGCTCTATGCAGTAGGAGAGTTGCTTTCCTAAATGCTCGTTTTTATTCATTGTAGACATGCATGGGCAGATCAAAGACAACTGTTGATAAAGAAGGATGATCTGCAAGAAAAGAAATGAAAGGAGGATGTAGGGTTGGGTTCCTGACCTCTCATCGGTTGCCTGTACAACCTTAGGCAAAGCACTTTCTCTCTCTGGTTCTCAGTTCCAACTAAAGTTCAAAACAGGGAGGTGCTGAAATCCTGGAACAGCGAGGGGGACCCCGTAAATGATGACAGAGAGGTTGACTGTATGTCTACACCAACCTGATGCTGCCACTCAAAAGTCCCAGTACAAACTTTGTTTCATTAACATTCACCTTTCACCAAAATCAGTGAATTCAGTGCAGAAAATGATAATACCAGTAGGTCAGGAATACTTGGACTCAAGGGCACAATTTAATTACTAATAGAGAAGGAAATGGAGACATCTAAAGGGTCAAGACATTTTATCAGCCTGCTGCTTTGGTTTAGGTTTCAAAATTCCTGCT